TTATTATCAATGCATCTTGATTGCATGTTCGATCTATCTCCGACTGTAAAAGTTGGTAGAAATCATCTATTTCTTCTTCTTTGGCTCTGGTTGTTGCTAATCTTAGAGGAAGAAAAAGAATCCAAGAGAAGGAGGAAACTTAGCTATTCGTTTTCAAAGAGATTTCCGTGGAGAAAGTAAAATGCAAGAAACCGTTTTGAGATTGCTCTTAACCAATACGTGACTTTATAAAGAGGAAACTAGCGCTGCTGCCAGAAGATGTGCCTATATATGCCAAATTGTTGGTATTCAGCCACCACTGCCGAAAGCCAATATGGCACCTAGCCTCACAGGCTTCTTCCAGAATGTCTGGGCCAAGGAGCCAATGCTGGTTGTGTCCCTTACCATTGGGAGGCCTCACTATAAGTCTGCCCTCTTAAGCCGCTACACCATATATGCTATCATGATCAAGGAGATCACCCCCTACAGCTAGCTAGTACCCCTCCAAGATAATGGGAACAAGCCTGATGTGCTCAGCCACTCCCAGGGCCCCAAGCTGGAGTGGTTGAAGAAATCACCTTTGAGGATTCCCCACACATACACCAACAAGAGCTTGAAAACAAAAAGTCCAAATAGTTGGTATTCATTTTTTATAAGTATATTTAGTATACTGCAGAAAAAAGTAACATGAAATATATATACTTTAAATCTGTCTTAAGGATCAGTAATAAACTGAAGGCGATGTCAGCCAGGAGACTAAGGTGCACCTGATTCAGGCCATGGTCTTCACAATTAATTGCATCAGAGAGCTGGACAATGACTAGAATTGACAGAAGAATTGGTCCCTTTGAATTGTACTGGAGGATAATATTGAACAGAGCATTGACTTGCCGAGAGAGCAAACATGTTTATCTTGGAGAGGGTGAAATCAGGTTGCTGCCTGGAGACAAGGATTTTGAAGCTCCATCTTACGTATTTTGAGTTATGTGGCCAGGAGGGACCGTCACTGGATAAGGACATCATGCTCTGAAAGGTGGAGGGACAGCGCAGGAGA